GTGTTTAACATATATACAGCTTTTGGGGTTTAAAGCCACGCTCGATATCCCAACTTTATGTCAACGGCCAGTAAATAATCGAGTATAAACCAGAGAATTTCGTGATCGATATTGCGATGCACCGTCGGGGTAGGATGCTTTGCTTTGTTTGTTTGTTGTTTAACGCCACACTCAGCAATATTCAAGCTATATAAGGGCGGTCTGTAAATAATCGAGTCTGGACCACATAATCCTGTGATGTCATGAACATTTGTTCACGCAATTGGGATACTATGATATGCATCAACCAAGTAAGCGAATCTGACCACTCGATCCCGTTAGTCGCCTCTTACGACACGCATAGTCACCTTTCACAGCAAGCATTTGTTGCTGGACCCGTGAAGATTCCGGGGTAGAATAGGCCTTGAGGAACCCATGCTTGTCGTAAAAGGTGCCTATGCTTGTCGTAAAAGGCGACTAACGGGATCGGGTGGTCAGGCTCGCTGACTTGGTTGATGCATGTCATCGATCCCAATTGCGTGGATCGATGCTCATGATATTAATCACTGGATTGTCTGATCCAGTCTCAATTACTTACAAACCGCCGTCATATAGCTGGAATATTGCTGAGTGCGGCGTTAAACAACAAACCAACCAACCAACCATTTGTTGCTGAAGACCTATGCTAACCCGGATCTTCACAGGCTTAGTTTATTTTGAATGTAGTGCATCGATGTATAGAACTTGAAATTAGTTTCCGCTTGGTGACCTCATTTGCATATTTATCGGATCGTACCAGAGACTATAAATTTATTTTATGGTCTCTGGTGGTCCCAAGTTTATTGGATGTGTCTATCGCATCAGCAATACACTAACCATTACAAGATAAATGTCCTTAGCAACAACAGAGCAATGTGTTTTATACGCATAGGTCCATCCCCCACTGCGGCATGGAGTATCACGCTGTGACAGTGATGACCTCACGTGTGGCACCTGTAGCTCAAATCCCAGCTTCCTTGAAACAAGCAGCAAGACAGGGTCACTCGTCTCATCCCAATAATGAGATACTGCTTTGATTGGATTTCGTTCTGCTTGTCACACTGAATGACTGTCTCTGATATAGGGAACCTTGGATGTCACTATGGTATCAATTTAGTTTGTATTGAACCAGTGAACCTGTCATTTTCCTCTTCCCTATCGCTGTGTCAGTGTCATCTGCCAACGAAAAATGATGTTAATAAGTGCACATATCCTTCACTCTGAAACGCATCGAGTCACGTCTAACTCTGAAATACACCGAGTTGTGTCTAACCCTGAAATTCTCAGAGCACTCTGACATAGTCACATCGAATCTTGTCGTAAGGGGCGACTAACGGGATCGGGTGGTCAGGCTCGCTGACTTGTTTCATGCATATCATCGTATTCCAGTTGCCTAGATCGATGCTTATGATGTCAATCACTAGATTGTTTGGTCCAGACTCTATTATTTACAGACCGCCGTCATCTAGCTGGAATATTGCCGAGTGCGGCGTTAAACAACAAACAAACAAAACATCGAATCTTGTCTAACTCCTAAGTACCGAGTACTCGGAAATACATCGAGTCTTGTCTAAGTCTGACATAAATCGAGTCTTGTCTACCCCTTAAATACATAGAGCACTCTGACATAGTCACATCGAATCTTGTCTAACTCTAACGGAGTACTCTGAAATACATCGAGTCTTGTCTAACACTTTCTTAGTAAAGTTCAGATTCTAGTACTATTTGGGGTTCTGTCCCGCCCGGGATTCGAACCCACACTGCAAGAGTGAGGGGCCTTATCGCCCGCACACAAAGTCAGTGATCTGACCCACTCAGCCACCGGGGTTCCTCAATATGAAAGTCCGACGACTGATAGTCTAGATCACGTACTTTGTGTATCCCTCTACTCTGCATGGCTCCCGTGACCGAAAACTATGAACCCACAATGGTCATTTAGAAAGTGGCCAAATGTTACAAATGTTATATTTGGGATAACACTTTCTAAGTGTCCAAGGGCGTAAGTTTCGGCCCTCGGATGGTAGCTCAGGGTGATGACGGAAGACAAAACTCAGGGGTGAAGTTTAGACGACAGCAGCCATATTTATTGTTGATGGTTGAAATGAGTCGAAAAGGTACATGTTGATAATAACGTGACAGAACGCACACCGGGACCTAGTGGCCAATGTTCCCGGGTGGGAGAACCGTTCTGTCACTTACCTTCTGGCTCTTCTCTAGGCTGTCTCCAGGCTGTCTCCCTGACTGACCATGTCAGTCGGGTTTTGTAGAGCGAGGTATTACGTAACGTGTGGCAAGGTCATTGTCCCACGTGTATGTATAGACGTAAGATCCGGCGACGTTAGGAGGTGTTAATTGAAATTTATAGATAGCGCTGGAGATTAAGGGTCCCGCCCGGAGGGGCTTATGATAAGAGGGGATACGCCGAATGTTTGCTGAATATATTAAACAGACAAAGGGCATAGAATTTCGGTGCACTTGGAAACATATTGAACCAGTTAGGTATTTAGATAAATGAAATGTTAAATAAAAGTATTGAAATGGTTTGCACAATTATAAATAAAAGTATTGAAATGGTTTGCACTATAACAATAAGTAAAGAACAGATTCTGACATACACCAAGTCTTGTCTAACTCTGACATACATTAAATCTTTGAAAATATCGAGTCTGGGGGATTATTCAACGCTTGAAAACATCCAATTGTTTTCTCCAAAATGAGGAGGCGAATGAACTTTTTGGGACTAGTATTATTTCCTCATGTGGTTATACTGAATACTGATACGCGCCGTATGCATGTTTGATTATTCTTTGCTTGTTGTTTAACGCCATACTCTGCAATATTTTAGCATTACGACGGCAGTATGTAAATAATCGAGTCTGGACCACAGAATCCAGTGATTGACATCATGAGCATCGATCCACGCAATAAGGATACGCTGACATGCTTCAACTAAGTCGGCGAGCCTGACCACCCGATCCCGTTAGGCGCCTCTTACGACAAGCATAGTCACCTTTTACGGCAAGCATGGGATGCTGAAGATGCACTGAACACATGCTTGCCGTAACAGGCGACTAACAGGATCGGATGGTCAGGCTCGCTGACTTGTTTGATCCATACCATCAATCCCAATTGCGTGGATCGATGCTCATGATAATAATCACTGAATTGTCTGGTCCAGACTCGATTATTTACAGACCGCCGTCATATAGCTGGAATACAGCTGAGTGCAGCGTTAAACATCAAACCAAACCAAACCGAACCACTTCACAATGCGAGTGGGACCATTTGGGTTAAACTTTCACTTATGTGATGATAATCTGAACCATCAGAACAAGAACTAGTACTACAGATATGTGTTTGTGCGAATGTTATAAGAAGAACGGCTTTTATATTTAGAAGTACACTGAGTTCTTACGATTCAAAGCAGTAGAGATCTTTGATGTCTTCATGTGTGTGGTTGTGCGTGAGCTTTCATCTGAGAAGATCCATGTGGGTTCATAGCTTCAATTGTGTCAGACCTCCTCCACAAAGAGTCATCACATACGTGGAACAGGAAGGATACGTGTAATTCAGGAAGGCATTACATGACCTGCTCTACTTTAAGGGTCTTACACTACACTTGGCTTTCGTTTCATGAGAAGAAATTCTCATTAGAAGTTTTTTAGGCTTTTGTTTGAACGTGTTGAAATTTTACTGACCTATTTCGAACGTCCATTTGTTCGTTGCTTACCCAGCTGAGCACCTAAACTGATCAGCGTGATGTAGGACGTACACGCATGTGGGTTGGGTTTATTGCCGCCTCGAACAGTCAGCTAGTAGTCCGAAGTGATGCATTCCTTAGACCACGGGTTCGGTAATGGTACTGACAAACATAATCAGGGCAAATTGGATTCGACCCATTGACCACATGCTTCTGGAACATACAAGGGAGACAACTCTTTATGGCGAATGTCGGTTCCTTTGATGACTGGGCCACCTCAGCTTCCGAGACAAGGGAGTTAACTGTAAAAGTCCCTTTTTCACCCTAGTCAAACGAGACTGAAATTTCTTGGCTCGATCGTAACGCCACCGGTGGCTATTACGATAAAGTTCCTTCTATGTCGCTCCTATTGACCAATCAGATTCCACCTCTCATATCACGTGCATTTGCTTCACGTCAATCGCTACCCCCAGTCAAGATAAAACGGGTCTTACTTCGCGAAGTGCATAAAATCACGTGAGCACATTGATGAGAAACAAGAAAAGATTTGGAAAATTTCTGTTTTCGCTAAGTTGACGGTACACATGCTTTGCAAATACTGCAATCGAACGAAATCTTCACAGCAGTCGCCATGTTGTTTACGAACCTGATTTCTTTTTCGTTACGCGATTTGACTGGACTATGCATAGACTCGTTAGTTTAGCCAAAGTATAACTCAATAATACCAGTAGAATTCGACAAGGATTGAAACTGGACTGTTAAAGTCAATTGACTCCCTTGCCTCGGGAAGATGGGGCCACCTTGCCCCGGAATAACCCCAAAGAGAGAGTTTAAACCCGTTTAAAAGAGGGAAATTACATACTTAGTGATACAATACGACATGTTGACTATTCTGTGCTATCGTTTGTCGGTGCGAATGACTTTTGTGTTTCCTTATGTAGATGTCTGTCATTCAATAGCTCACTCAAAGATGTGTTTGGTGCAAATATGTGGTGTTTTAAAATTAAGTTGTGGGTTGGCCCATATTACTATTTCATTTATAACATTTACACACCTTGATTGCATTGAACTCATGTTAATGCATCAACGATAGCTATAGTGGCTTTATATTTATAGAAATTCCCTAAAACGAATGTTTCTTCAAGGACTATACGACTGTTGATCTGTCAGGACAATATCTTTTTTACACTAATTAACGCTATCATTATCACTTACTTTTGTAAGATATAAACTGGTATGCAATCATATATTTCATCGTTTTCATTCTTTTCATATGTTTCAGGAATGCCCTTAACCAGTGTTGCCCACTAATCTACTATCTTGAGCGGAAGTGACGTCACAGCCACCATGTCTCTTATTACGTCATCCAGCGGATACGTGGCAAGTCGTTTTGGGGGTGACAGCACCACCCAACAAGCCCCCCGTTATGAGAGCGTCTCTCCCTACTACCCCCTGATGGACCCCGAGGACAATCAGCAGGTAATGCGTCTCACCTGGCTGATGGTCCTGTTCATCATCCTGTACTGTATCATCTTCCTCCTGGGCATCACCGGCAACTCCCTCGTGGTGTACGTGGTGCTCAGAAACAAGGCCATGCAGACAATCACCAACATCTTCATCACCAATCTGGCCGTATCTGACATTTTGATCGCCCTTCTAGCTGTACCGTTCACTCCCATATCGTATTTCCTGGATTCATGGGTGTTCGGGGAGGGGCTCTGTCACATCGTTCCCATGATCCTCTGCATCAGCGTTTACGTCTCGACCTTGACCTCCACCGCCATTGCCGTTGACCGGTATTTCGTGATTGTGTACCCCTTCAAACCGCGTATGAAGATCTACATGTGTCTCCTGATGATAATCGCTATATGGATCATATCCGTGTCTATTTCTTTACCGCTTGGAATATACCACGAAGTTGAGGTGACCAATAAGACGGACAGCTACGCATGCTCCGAGAAATGGCCGAGAGTTCAAGCCCGACAGTTTTTCACTGTAACCAGTCTTGTCTTACAGTACATAGTGCCTTGCAGTATCATCACCTTCTGCTACACGATGGTGTCCCTGGCCTTGAAGAAAAGGACGAAGGTCAAGATTGGCAGCGGGTCAAGGACGCGGGAGCGGGATGAACTGGAAATTAAACGGAAAAAGCGCACCAACAGAATGTTGATTGCCATGGTTACGATATTTGTGTGTTGCTGGATGCCCTTGAACGTAGTCCATCTAGTCCGGGAGTATGAAACTACCATTGCTGTGTGGTACTATTTCACTTTGATATTCTTCATTGCCCATGTCATCGCAATGAGCTCAACGATATATAACCCTTTCCTGTATGCCTGGATGAATGATAACTTTAAGAAAGAGTTCAAACTGGTAGTACCATGCCTCTTTTTTACTTCACGTCAAAACAGTACTTCGAACAGCTATACGCAATACACCAACGTGGAGACACAGCCATCAGTTATTATCAACCGTTCTCCAGTGAGAAATGGCAATGACAATTGCGCAAAGGAAACCAAAGCGGTTTACGATGCAGACTCGGAAAAAGTCCACCTAAACATTGCGGAGGAGGACAATAGAGTTGATGACACGTGATCTGGGAACTACTTCAATGAATGACGCAATGGCTCAGATTGAACGTTACCTTTGAATTGAACTGACGACTGTGATTGGACATGAGGGACGTCTGATGGCTACCATTGAACGCTTAGATCTACGATTTGACAAGTTTGTGAATTCGCAGTCATGGGTAAAAAACATATTAGGTTCGTGAAAACAAGATGTATATATACCAAAGACCTACATTTCAAACTTCATTGATAATCGTTTTCACTGACATGTTAAGTGAATGGTGGACATGTCAATCATTACGAAACTGGTGACTCAGGGAAGTTAACAGGACTGAGAACGTCACCTTGCACGTTTCCGCGTCAAACAGCCTTAAGATGGCTGAATCAAAACAGACTGCATTGCGCCTTTAAGGCCAAGTGTTTGAACAATGTTGACAGCTGCTCAATTCATGTACGTAAGCCCAGCATAGCGTTCTGTTCCTCAAATAAACTGTGATCACATGGACGCCTGATCATGGATTTGACGACCGAGAATTAACAATATTGTGCAAAACATGTTGATTGTTTTGAGCTGGGAATATCGCTTCTACTTCGGGATTAATTAAGCCAGAGATATGTAAAGCATATACAGTGACCTGCTGTTGACCCCTTGGAGGGTGATGATGCATTAGTGTCTATAGATTGTGTGTACCGATGTGACGTGTGCTAATAAATAAAAGTGATCTAACATGACAACGTGAACCCTCAATAGAAATTAGCCTGTGTTGCTGGCAAACACACAAGCATGTCGAAATGTCGATATTTTGTTCATAATCTTCACACTGTTTAAATACTTTCAGGACGCTCCCGGCGTAGCTTAAGATGTTTTATAATGAAAACAGCATGCCACTGTTTAAGACTATAAAGTAATCAATATTGAAAAATGTTTTGTACAATGGACTAGAAACCTGAAATTTCGAACAATGTCTTGTCTGTTTTTAACAAAAGTATTCTATCGAATGCCATAGTACTAAGTCATAAGAGCCACACAGTTGATAGCCGAGTTATCTCTCTTTGTACGTGTTCTTGTACTGACCCCTAATAAGAACACGAAAGGGGAGGTAACTCCCGTTGGTTTTTCTATTTTGGTTTCACGTTGAAATTCTGCTTCCCGTTTTCGCAGTAACATGATGTCGTTGTGGAACCATGAAGTCCTGTATTACATGAACCGTATTACAGTTATAAGTATCTGGTGTAGTCTTATTTATGATATAGTTTTGTGACGCAGTTTCGGGTACATATCCCTTGGGTATAACTGTTCCTGTCATTATTCACCATTATTGGCATACATTGTTTTAATGTTTAGTGATTTTCTCTAGTTTTTGAAACAACATAAATCGAGAACAATATCACGATGAATCTGATCAGGTTTTTTTGGGATGATTTTGTTTGGCATCAATTATTAGATTTGATTTAACAATGGGCAGTGATATATATTTTAATTCAGTTTCATATTTTCACTGGTTAAAATTGTTTCATTGAATTATAAAAATCGTAAAATGGCCCCCAAGGCCGGGGTGGTGATGAAACTGTTGATGTCTGCATGGCTTTGTTTCTGAGCACACTATGATAATTGATGTTGAGTAAAAAGTGTTAAATTACACAACTGCGTTGTATGCTGTTATTGTCATCAAACAACACACAATTGTTCCGAAGCTTTTCTGTCGTCTCATTTCCGTGAGAAAGGCTTTGGTGCCTTATTGGAAAAAAATGAAAAAAACCAACACATTTATCAACGATACTTTCGCATCTGAAGACGTCTCGATGTACACGAGAAATGTTTCCAAACACCACCACCACTACTACTAATACCACTACTACTACTACTGCTACAATTCCTCCTACTTTTGCTGATACTACTACTACTTGTCTTACTATAACTACTGCTGCTACTACTATTACGAATGCCTCTGCTACTTATACTTCTACTATCGCAACAACAACTTACCATTGCATACAAACCAATACATTGGACCGGTGAAGAGCCTACAGCATGCATCCTGATTACATACACGCTAATATCTTGGCCTGGAGTAGAGTATGCATCCTCATTACAAACACACGAACATCTTGGAATGGCGTCGAGCATGCACCCTCATTAGATACACACCAATATCTTGGAATGGCGTCGAGCATGCACCCTCATTAGATACACACCAATATATTGGAATGGCGTCGAGCATGCACCCTCATTAGATACACACCAATATCTTGGAATGGCGTCGAGCATGCACCCTCATTACATGAACACCATTATTACCCACGTGTAGAAGATACAGGTCGTAAGATACTAAATCCGTACGTCATACGTGTGTCGTACAAGGTTGACCTTGTTTTATTCGTTTTGATTGGATAACCGTGACCTCTGTCACACCGGGACTACTTTTTTCATTCATCAAAAATCGCGAGACGTCATTCATGTTGCAACTACAAGGCAGAACTGGAGAAATTAATGAGAACGAGAGATATTTACAAACACTTTATTAAACCAAACAAAATAGTCACACGCATCAAATTCGGTTTGCATTATATATAAGTTATGCATAGAGCTTCTACAGACATAATATAATAGAGCTATATCCATTTAGAATGTACGACTACTGATCAATAGAGCGAGGGTCCCCATGAGCGTTACGCACCCGACCACTTTCGCAACTTTCAATTTGATTTAACGTAAAGGATAAGCGTGGTGAAATGAAGTCTGTTTAAACTATCTGGACAGATATTTGGACTTACTTGGGATGATCCGGCTGTGCCATCAGTGTCCCCTTCGAAGCGTATTTTGTGGCGTTGTTTCGGGATGTGTTGTTCATGAATGAACGTACACGACTGCACGACCAGATCACTAAAAGTGAACAGTTCTGATACAAATCATTCGAAAACTCAGTGGAAGTGTGCCTAACTTCTGATTTTGTGTCCCCAAACATCCCAAATGTGAACAATAACATTCCCTATCTCTCGCGTAAAATGCTGCTGGTTGGCCTAGATCACGGTTGTCTTTTCTTATTCCGGTGGTGACCTTGCCCTTCGATCGTTCGAAGCTGTCACTGACATGCAAGCAGACTTGAGTTTGTTTGATTTTCACGTCTTCAGTATAGGGTGGTACAGTTTACATGAATATCTTTGGCGAACACTCGGATTTCCCTGTTCCAAAATGGTACGAACATGATATAAATTCAGCTGATAGATCAAGGAAACCGAATCATTTTGATTGCACAGACGGGACACCGGCAGTGCGAGTGACCGACTGTTAGTCCGATTTTTTAAAGAGCGGCGCTAATGTGACATTTCAAATTTTCATATAGGTGTCCTTCGCACTAACAACATGGCGCTTGAATTACCATAAGTTGAAGAATTTCTTCCAAAAGGATCTTGAGCGTCAGTGTTGTTTTGTTTGCAAACACAACTGCAGGCGTATGTTGTTAATGCGTATGCATAGAAATGTCAACAATGCCCATATTTGGGCATATATCAATATTCATGCTCAACCAGATTTTGCAACCGGTTTCAGTTTGGTCTGTCAACGAACGAAAGTTGTTATGTATTTACACTTGAATATATATTTAACGTGGGTAATCAATAAAATACCACACTCATTCTTGTTAGATACCATTTTTACTCGCTTTCGCTCGGTCAGATACCATAGAAAGTCCACTCGTTTCGTAAAATTGGTATCTAACGAGAATGAGTGTAGTATTCTCTATATATCTAGAAATAACGAAGAGCATGTACCCTCATTACATAAGCACCAATATCTAGGAATGGCGTAGAGCATGCACAATTATTACATACACACCAACATCTGGGAATTGCAAGGATCATGCACACTCATTACATACACACCAATATCTTGGAATGACGAAGAGCATGCACTCTCATTATACACACCAATATCTTGGAATGGCGTAGAGCATGCACACTCATTACATAAACAACACTATCTAGGAATGGTGTAGAGCATGCACTCTTATTACATACACACCAATATCTGGGAATGGTGTAGAGCATGCGCCCCCATTACATAAACAGCACTATCTAGAAATGGTGTAGAGCATGCAATATCATTGCATATACACCAATATCTAGGAATGGCGTAGAACATGCACCCTCATTAAATACACACCGATATCTAGAAATGGCGTTGAGCATGCACTCTCATTACATAAACACACCGATATCCAGGAATGGTGTAGAGCATGCACTCTTATTACATAAACATCACTATCTAGGAATGGCGTAGAACATGCAATATCATTGCATATACACCAATATCTAGGAATGGCATAGAGCATGCGCCCTCATTACATAAACAATACTATCTTGGAATGGCGGAGAGCATGCACTCCCATTACCTAAACACCGATATCTAGGAATGGCGAGGAGCATGCACTCTCATTACATAAACACACCGATATCCATGAATGGTGTAGAGCATGCACTCTCATTACATAAACATCGATATTCAGGAATGGCGTAGAGCATGCACTCTCAATACATACACACCGATATCTAGAAATGGCATAGAGCATGCGCTCTCATTACATACACATTAATATCTTGGAATGGCGAGGAGCATGCACTCTCATTACATAAACACCAATATCTAGGAATGGCGTAGAGCATGCACTCTCATTACATGAACACCAATATCTAGGAATGGCGTAGAGCATGCAATATCATTACATATACACTAATATCTAGGAATGGCGTAGAGCATGCAATATCATTACATATACACCAATATCTAGGAATGGCGTAGAGCATGCAATATCATTACATATACACCAATATCTAGGAATGGCGTAGAGCATGCAATATCATTACATATACACCAATATCTAGGAATGGCATAGAGCATGCGCCCTCATTACATAAACAACACTATCTTGGAATGGCGTAGAGCATGCAATAGAATTGCATATACACCAATATCTAGGAAAGGCGTAGAGCATGCACTCTCATTACCTAAACACCGATATCTAGGAATGGCGAGGAGCATGCACCCTCATTACATAAACACCAATATCTTGGAATGTCGAAGAGCATGCATTCTCATTACATAAACACCGATATCCATGAATGGTGTAGAGCATGCACTCTCATTACATAAACATCGATATTCAGGAATGGCGTAGAGCATGCACTCTCAATACATACACACCGATATCTAGAAATGGCTTAGAGCATGCACACTCATTACATAAACACCAATATCTAGGAATGGCGTCGATCATGCACACTCATTAGATACACACCGATATCCAGGAAGGGCGTAGAGCATGCATATTCATGACATACACAACAATATCTAGTAATGGCGTAGAGCATGCACTCTCATTACATAAACACCGATATCCAGGAAGGGCGTAGAGCATGCACTCTCATTACATACACACCAATATCTGGGAATTGCGAGGAGCATGCATTCTCAATACATACACACCAATATCTAGATATGGCGTAGAGCATGCACCCTCATTATATACACACCGATATCTTGGAATGGTGTAGAGCATGCACTCTCATAACATAAACACCTTTATCTTGGAATGGCGTAGAGCATGCACTCTCATTACATAAACACCTATATCTGGGAATGGCGTAGAGCATGCGCCCTCATTACATAAACACCGATATCTAGATATGGTAGAGCATGCGCCTTCATTACACACAATATCTTGGAATGGTGTAGAGCATGCACACTCATTACATAAACACCAATATCTGGGAATGGCGTAGAGCATGCACTCTCATTACAGATACACCAAAATCTAGATATGGCGTAGAGCATGCGCCCTCATTACACACAATATCTGGGAATGACGATGAGCATACACCCTGATTACACACACCAATATCTAGGAATAGCGGTGAGCATGCACTCTCATTACATAAACACTAGTATGTAGGAATTGTTTAGTGTCTTCATTCTGATTACATATGCACGAATATCTAGGACGGATGTCCTACCTCAGTAATTCACTATGAATCACAAAGTATAATAGTGTAAGTAACATTATTCATGTATTACCCAAATGGAAACCATCTGCTGTCGGTATTCCCTCTAGAAGAATTGGTGGAATAAATTTCAGATGCATGTTGAATCCATGCACATTGGTCTGGCTACAAGAGCAGGGGTTGTTGGTACTGGAGATAAGGGGATGCTGGAGATAACAGGGTGCTGGAGACAGGGGGTTCTGGAGATTACAGGGTGCCGGAGATAATGGGGTGCTGGAGATTACAGGATGCTGGAGATAATGGGGTGCTGGAGATTACAGGGTGCTGGAAATAATGGGGTGCTGGAGATAAGGGATTCTGGAGATAAGGGGAAGCTGGAGATAATGGGGTTCTGGGGATAAAGGGATGCTGGAGATAAGGGGTGCTGGAGATAAGGGGATGCTGGGGATAATGGGGTGCTTGAGATAATGGGGTGCTGGAGATAAGGGGTGCTGGAGATGAGGGGATTCTGGAGATAAGGGGAAGCTGGATATAATGGGGTTCTGGGGATAAAGGGATGCTGGAGATAAGGGGTGCTGGAGATAAGGGGATGCTGGGATAATGGGGTGCTTGAGATAATGGGATGCTGGAGATAAGGGGTGCT